AAAGATCCTCTAGAACAATTGTGCGGCCAAGGTGTTCGAAAACGAAATGCACTTCGCACCGTGCAAACTGTTGTTTTAACACTTTCATATCATTAAAATGGAAACACTCCCGTTCGTTTGATCCGTTCAGTTCGTAAATACACACTGTGGAGAGCATTTTACGAATTGATACCATTTTACGAATTTCGTAAATGCGGATTGCTAAGTCCAAGTTTTATACTACTCATTAATTTTCATGTTCGAAGGATTCGCAAATGCGAAGTGTATGATAAAATTAGACAACTCGTAGATGCACCTTGCAGAGCGTGGACGAATCGCAGGAATTTCAAAAACTAGATGTACTGTTAATTCGCAAATGCACTTCGCTGTAGACGCATGAATTCACAGAAAACGGATAAACCAGATTGCTAGGCGTATGTGAGATTTCGTAAGAAGTAGTTGGTAGACTGTCTGTTTTACTAATTGCACATTGCAATTACTTCGTACGTTAAAAGTGCCAAGTCGCAGGTGAGTAGCTATGGTAACTATCAGAAGTCTTTTACTTCTACGTCGAGAAATCTGCAAATTGCTTGCTCTTTGTACTTTGCAAACAATTCGTATGAAAATGTGAGAATTCGCAAGTTCATTTCTGTTAAAGTAGATCAAAATGAAAAACGTTTTCCTATAGGTCAAAAAATCTGCAAATAGCGTGCACTTTGCACATTGCAGTCAATTCGTATGAAAATGTGGGAATTCGTAAATGGGCAGCTACGATAATTATCCGAAGTTGAAGAAAGTTTCTCTCTCTATATCTCTATAATATGTTTAATTACATGGCACATGTCATCATAAAAAACAAATGATGGATGTGTGAATTCGCAGAATTTAATACGAAGTAACTGCAATGTGCAAAGCGCAAGCAATACGCAGATTTTTGGAACTGGAGAGAAACTTTCTTCCACTTCCGCTATTTATCGTCCGTAGTCAAGTATGAATTCACACGGTTAGATACGAATAACTGCAATGTGCAAAGCAGTTTCGACATTTCTCGAGCGGTAGGGAAACTTTCGTTCACTTCTGATATTTGTTATGAGTAGCCATGTGTGAATTCGCAGAGTTTAATAAGAAATAACTGCAAGGTGCAAGCAATACGCACATTTTTGCAACTGAAGGGAAACCTTCCACTTCCGATATTTATCGTGCGAAGTCATGTGGGTTCTAGTTTAGATTGGTGAACGACTCTGTCTTGCACATAGTTGGATTCATATTCTACAGTAACCGTTTCCAAAATGCTCATTTTTACATTGCTTCGAGTTGACACATAACTTTTGCTTTCTTTTTTGAAAAATTTACATAGTTCGGCAAATTCGATCTTGCACATCGTTGTTTTAAATTTGGCAGCGACGATGTGCAAAACTGCACATTGTCACCATTGTTGAATTGATATCTAAACAGGTCAGCGAGTTTTGCCGAATTCGTGTCTGCACATTGATGAGCATATTTTCAACAATGTACAATTCGCCATCACTTCGGAAATGCAGATTGTTGAGACGGAAAAAGACCTTGAATAGTTTCTAAATACAGTTCGCTCCTCGATACACTTCGCAGATTTGGTATGTTACACAGTGCTTGAAGTACCGGTTAATTGCAGCGAAGTACAATTCGCACGGGAAAACGCAATCTACGAATTCGTGTTTGAACGCCTTGGCCGCACCACTCCTCTAGAAAACGATCTTCGGAAATTTGTCCAAAAAACAATTTTGCTTGCGAAAAGATAGCTTCAGGTGTTTAGTTTTCAAAACTGGAAATCATAGATCTCTGTCTTCATTTTACTCTGAGTTATTCAAAAAACGGCAACCTGCATTAGATTCTATGATGAATAATAGTCTGAAGTGGTTTTAGATTGCCTGTAGGCTTCTTTTTTTTGTAACTATAACAGAAGACTTCTATAGGTCAACGTTATTATTTTCTCTTATTTAGATTCTAACAGTAAATCCTTATGGGAACAAATCAAAGATGATATTGATTCTTGGAATGGTATGTCACAACCAATACTTGACGTTGGTGAAATAAAACAAGACAATGAGCCTACACTAAAACATAAATCCATTCCTATCAAACGTTTATTCAAAGATGGAACAGCAGAACGTGAAAAAATCCATTTATTTATCGAGTAAACAAAGTTAATTTTTTGCTTTTTAAATTGTCTTGTTTAAAGATGTATCTTTCTTTTATGACATTTTATAGAGCATTAAAAACGAAATTGAAACAGAATAATATCAATGTATCTGATCCTGAATTAGAAATGCGTACGTAGTTACTAGTTGATTGTAGGTGTAATAAAACAAACTGTGTTATTATTTTTATAATTTTAGCAACTACTCATTTTACAGACGACTTTGATGACATCGAAAATAATGAACAAGTCATTTTCATCCTAACGGAGAGTAATGATCGCGAAGAACTTATGAAACGTATAGCTGCTAGAAAATCGAAAAACGTAAGATGTTGAATATGGACATGGGCGGGACCAAGGTCCGAATCTCGGAAACGTTGTTTGGTCCCATCCCGCACAGTGTGCATCCAGGCGGACATTAGATGAAAAAATGAAAGTCGACTTTTCGTCGATTCAATAAATGCTAAATATACTTCATGACATGTTCTATCTGATGGTATAAAAAAATTTTGTTAGTAAACTTAACTGATGTGAAAAAATCACTAGTAAAGAAATTAGCGATAAAACACTAATATCAGTGAGAAAATGCATTTTTCGCAAAATTGAACAAAGCGATAGACAAACGCAATATATATTCTGAATCTGCACACCGCCTGGTATCTATCTGTGAAAATATTTCTTAATTTGGACTTATGATTTTCGAGATAAAAAAGTAAAAGTTTTTCTAAGTGATTCTCCGAATGGGGCCATGTTGAGCAAAGTGGGTGCACAAAAGTTAGCGAGGGTCCAGATTCCATCAAACTTTGCCAAAATGTTCTTCTACCTACCCTTTACCATTCTCCGATAGCGCAAATTCGCACGAACATTCCAGCACAGCACAGTGGGTTTTCCAAAAAACCTTCTTTTTCAGATATTTTGTATTTTTCCAAGCTCAGGAGCACTTTTATTCAAAAATAAGATCATATTTGAAATCAAAGCACTAACGAGGGGACCTTTCGAGGTGATTAAACGTTTTTTGCCCGGAATCTAGTGGGTTATAGGTTATCGACCATTCTGTTTACCAATATGATCATGGGGATTGCCCTTAGCCCTTCGAAGACCTGCTTTTCTAGAAAAACAGTTTTTCAGAAACTCTAAAAGTAACCCGAACCTTTCTTAATAAGGCACGATTGCAGCTCACAAATCTCTGATTAAAATGAGACATCTCCCAGCTCTACACAATCTTTCTTTGCAAAGTTATAGAATTCACAAAAAAAGCCCTAAATTAATTTCTTCTTATTTCTGTAGCTTTGAGCTGAGAATGAACATTTAGGGCTTTCCTTGTAAACTCTATAACTTTGCAAAGAAAGATCGTGTAGAGCTGAGAGATATCTCATTTTATTTAGAAATTTGCGGGCTACAATCATGCCTCAT